AACAAGCTGGAAATTTTCCTTTGAACCATTAATGATTTCTGACTAAAAGAAGACTCCATCAAGGAACAGGAGATACATTAAAGAGGTTTTCCATAAGCAGTTGGAATAGCACAATACATAGTCCTATCCTGGTAGGTATCATGGCATGCGCAGCAAGAACGTATTATTCTTATTTAGGCTGTGATCGTGGTCGTCGTTCAGTCGTCTTAGTCATGCTCAACTCTCCGTGACTCCATGAACTAGAGCATGCCTTGGAATTTCTTATCAAAGCTTCTTCTTTTGTCCATGGAGTGTTCATGGCAAAATACTGGAGTGGGTTGCCAGTTCCTTCTCCATTGGGCTGTGATACAAAGCAGCAAAGTCCATTTAACTCAGTGGTGCTTACTTTCAATACACTCTTCTTAGGATCAAGGAATTAAGCTTGAAATTTCTGTAGCTTTCTTTACATTCCTGATAACATGTCATGGCAGGCAGTTTGGGAGAACAGTCAAAAGTTCAGTAGTTAAAGCGAAGGGAAAGGAGAACTGCCAAAAACACACACCCAGAATTACATTGTATGAAAACTGCTTTTCGCTAAACTGGACAGTAACTTTGGCCTTTTCAACTTACCCAACTTTACTGTGACCCGTACTGAATCACACCAGACAGGTTAAGATTTAACAAGCGAAGTTGCTCACAATGATAAATCTGGAATGCTGCCCGTCTGCAAGGCCATGTTCAGTTGCTGAGTAATATACAATTATTTCCTTTACATTTCACCATGTAAAGGTTTTGCAAAAGATGGTGTGTGTTGCCATTACAAGTAAGTTTGTCCAAGGCCTCTGCACTCAGGGCTTTTCAAATGCAGGTTACACACCCCATAGACAACAGACAACCTCACTGAGCCACAATTCAATTCCTCACTGAGCCACAATTCCAGAGTAGTGTAACTCTGGGAACTGTAGTTCTGTAACATGAATATGGGTCTCTCCTAACAACTCTTACAAACTACACTCCCCAAGATTCTTTGGGGGTAGCTATGACAGCTATAGTGATATAGGATGGCAACACAAGAACAGGCCTTTTCTGTGGTGTCTCCCCATTTGTGGACTGCTCTCCCCAGGGAGGCTCACCTGGCGCTTTTATTACATATTTTTAGGTGCCAGGTGAAAATGATCCTCTACAACCAGGTCTTTGGTGAATTAAGCAATCTACGGCTTTGGAAATGTGTTTGTAGGTTGTTGTTGTTGTTGTTGTTGTTATGTTCTGCATCTTGTGGGAGCTTTTTGCGGGGTGGGTTATGTTGCAATCTTCAGATGAAGGGCCATATACAACTTTAATAAATAATTATAATTATAATAATAGTGTTTGAAATATATAGTACAGAAAGAGCCTGACAGTGATCATTAAAGTAACACAAAGGTCCCCAAAAGGAGTGTGGAATGGGTGGAATGTCAAGCTGGCTGCCTCCTGAACCAGTCATATGATTGCTTTGTCAGGTAGCCAGCTGCAGTAATGTACCCAACTGACATTTTTGGCATATTGCTCCTGCAAGGGAATTCAGATCACAACTGGAAGTTCCAAGAGGAAGCCTTAGGGATTTCTACATAGTAAATATTGAGGATTAGAGTGGAAGTCCACAGAAAGCACAGGCAAGACAATGGGTGATGAAAACGGTAAGGACAGTGGCTGCCACAGAGGAAATAACTCTGAAATATAAATACCTCTGGACAAGCATAGCAAAGTTTTTACTTTTCAAGATAGTCCTGTTATTGAAAAAAATAAGACACTTAAGACTGGAAGCCCCAGCCATATGAAGTACTGCAAAGAACCAGCAACACATAATCAAACTGCGCTTGCAAGAAAAACAGAATCTAAGAAGTTATAGTAGCATGAGAAAGCAAGGCAATCAGAACAGCACAGTAGGTATTTGTGCTTTCAACAACTTAGATTGACCTTGTTTGACACGGCACTAAACCATGACTTAGTGCTACATGAATGAGCTGTAGGAAACCTCAGGCTCATAGTCTCACCCATCCCTCAACAAGCATGCTTTAGACCGGCCTACATGTCAAATACTAGAAAGTCCTGAAACCTTGTCACAAGGTTTTCTGCATCAAGTAATGATCTCAGATTTACTGTGATAACAACACAAGAATGTCCTGGGAAATCATTAAATCTAGATAACGATAATGCATTCAAAGGCTCAGTTATCATTATTTGAAAGCCAGGTGGTAGAGTAAAGGCACAATTTTAAAAGCTGTGGCTATTCAATGCAACCGGTTCATGACCTTTAATATTCCTATTAATTAAATGCATGACCGCTTAGGAACAAGTTTACAAATACTAAGCTCTTGAAAATGTATATTTTTAGACAGAAAGTAGACAACAACATCTAAACACAATCACGTGTCAATTAGTGGAGAACAACATCACTTATGGATGCCATTATTACTAGTTTCCTTAATCAACAAGCATGCACCAAGGCACTGGAAACAAGTGATCAGTAAACAACTTCAAGTCAAACAACATTCTACCAGCCAAGAATTGTGATCTGCCAAGTGCTTCACAACTTGCCTTTCTGTACTATAGTTTCAAATAGACAGCAAAAACAGGTGTTTTGTCAAGACTCTGATAAACCACCCTACATGCCTGACTGCTTAGGTCGCAGACTTCACACAGGCCAGCCAGTCTGTGTCAAATCAGACTACAGGTAACTCTTCCCACCCCCCAGTTTCACAAAATGAAAGAAAGCAGTTAAGCAAGCCTATGTTCATCAATACATTTTTTTAAAGGTATACTGTGGTTTTAGAAGCTCATTTGCTGAAACAGCTTTTCTATGCCTTCTTCACCCCCACAGTTATGTGCCTAGAATAATAAAGTGACTTAGCCTACATGATTTCCAAAAAACTTATTTAACTATTGTTCCCCTTATCTCTAATCTCCAGTCATACAATATACCCAAAGAAAGAAATTAACAATCAATTTTATCAAAATAAATCATAGTGTCATGTACATGTTTACTCATAACCAAGGCCAACACTGATAGCTATGAATCAGGTTACAGCCTAAACATGTAAGGACCCTTCACTCACTCACAAGCTTTCTTTTCACCCAGCCAAACTTATTTGATGGTAAAGATGCTTAAGCTTGTGCCTTAAGATTCATTAGGCATCAAACTGCTGAAAGTAAAACTTCAAGCTTATTTTAAAAGTTGTAATGAAGAACTTCACTAAAATGTATCCATGTGATGACCTTATACGCGCCTAGAGGCCAGAATCAAGATTCAGAAAGCCAGCCAGAAATCAGTTTTTAGGTACCCATTCTGAGGGAGAGAGAGAGAGGGGGCCACACAACCTGTTGAGCTATATGAGTGAATTTACATGTTTAACAGAATCCTTTTAAGTGTCTCCTACAGAACCCTAGAAACATCAAAGTTTCATACTCAAACCTTAGAAAAATAATTTGGACTGCAGGGGTCTGGTCTGATCACTTGTTCACCTGTATACATGCAAACTTCACATCAGCCTTCACAAACTTAGTGTCCTGGGTTGGGAAAGTCTTCCATACATGGACTCACTGCATCTCTCACCACTATTTGCAGCTCTCCTCTGCTCTCTAAGCCAGTATATCTGCTAGCAGAGGTTCATGCTGCATGCAACTGATGAAACAATATGCATGCATTTTTAAACAACTAACCTGTATATTCTTTGACAAACTACAGGTACTATAAACTATTCCTAGATCACATATTACTTTGCTGTAATTCATACTGGCTTCAAAGAAGGAAAACAATTGTGTAAATGGGATCATTCCTTGCTCATAAAATGTTTGGGAAATGTGCATCGGATGTCTAGATCCAGGAAAATCCAAAACAAAGATTGATATAAAAGTGCAAGACATGAGGAAAGAAAGAAAAAATCACTCTAAGCATCATTTCTGAAAAGAGCCTTACTTTGATCAAAACAGCCATCTCTATGGTAAGCGGAAACTCTTTTCCCTCTTAGCCAAAAAGATAAAGGCGATTAAGCTGGAATTATTTCCCAGTGACCTATATAATTTTGTCAGCTTGCCAGTTACTATTAGTGCAGGCCATCTAGGGATGGAATGGCAATAACCACAACCTAACCCTTTTCTGGGGGCAATGGGAAAGGGTCGATCCAATCAATTTTAAAACAGAACAGTGCTGTAATTATTAGCAGCGATGTGAAGTAAACAAAGTTTGCTGTAACGTGTTGCTACCTTCCTCTAGCTAAGAAAGACGCTTCCTTGTTCGCCCCTCCCACAGCAGCAGCATCCATTCCCCAGCAGGGAGAGGATTAAGTTTGTTAACTCAAGAGAGAGACCGGTTTCGTCTGGGCAGAGTTTGACAGTGAGGGAAGACTTTTGAGTCATCTGCCGCTCGCGTTCTTACAAAACCCGAGGCAAGCAGCACCCAACCCTCCCCTCCTGCATTTGCAAATTGCAATGCTTTGTGCGGGCGCCTCTTGCAACCAGGCACGCTGACAATTCACTGGGGGAGGGAGAGAAAACTCCCGGGTTCCAAACGTTTTCCGAGAAGCAACAAGTGTTTTCAGAAATACTTTCAGGCACGGGAGGAGGAGGTGAGGGAGAAACCCGACAAAGGCGGGAAGACCTCACAAACCCTCTCCAGACTTTCTTTTCTTCCTCCCTTTTCAAGCTTTGCAACAGGCGCGCCCCTCCTCCTCCTCCGCTGAAACCTGAACTGGCCCATCACCTCTGAGAGGCACAAGAAAACGCCGCACGCAAGCAAGCGCAGCACCCGGCTCCTTCCTAGGCCGCAGTGGTAATTCGAGGTCAAAACGGCGTCATTCCCGGGGGTCGCGACACACTCCCCATGGGAGCAAAGCATCCTCCAGCCCGGCGCGACCCCTCAGTCCGGAGTGAAGAAACGCGACACTCCCCTGAAGAGGAAAATTCCTCTCGGGAGAAACACGTGGGTGGGTGAGCCGCTGCCACACCAGATTAACACTAAAGAATTAAAAGGAGCGAAGGAATACCTGGGCGGCCTCGAGCGCCTCCTCGGCGGTTGTTTTGCTCGGCAGTGCTGCTTTATCTAGAGTAGTGAGCCTCCCATGTCCGGAGAGCAGAAAGTTTTCTCCTCGGCGAGGCGCGAACCGCCCGCTTCCCCCCGACGCGCACACGCTCCCCCGAGCGGGTTCCCTGGGAGTTGGCTCAGCCGCGCGCAATCCTCTGGGCGCCGCTGCGCTGCTGCCTCTGGGGAGAGAGGCGGGGAGGCGCTGCTAACAACAACAACAGCTCCCAGCAGCAGCAGCAGCAGGTAAATCCCTCCCTTGCGCTGGAGCAGCCGGCTTTGAGCAATAATCCTCCAAGCACTGGAGGGAAGGGCGGGGGAGAAGGAGAGGCTGCTCCGCCGAGTCCCTGCCAGCCCCTCTCCAGAAAACAGAGTTGGAACAACAGCAGTTTGACTGCGGGCGGGCGGCGCAGAAATGGAGAAACTGGGCGGGCGGCGGGGTGCGTAAGGAGGCAGCCAGCGCGGGCTGCAAGCGGGCCTCGGTTTTTGGGGCGTGTGAGTCACGAGGAAGAAAGAGCTGGAACATGTAACTTGAGTGTCTTCACGCACCTCTGGGGCTTAACTTCCTGTGCCTTGATTTCCACCCGGTTTTAAGGACCTGGCCTCTGCGGAGTCCCATTATGAGTTGCCTGCTCGCTCTGCTTAGGGATGGGCGCTGAGCAGCCCTGAACTCCGCGCAAACGAAGCGCCTTTCTCCTGACGCCTCGGAGCAAGGAGGAGGTGGAGACCTCTCTGTTGTTGCCCCTTCGCTCGCTTAATATTTCTGGTTCCTTCTAAGTCTGCAAAATGTCAAGGAGGTTCCGGGAGGAGTATCGTCGCTACAATAAAAACTCGCATTACACGGACAGATGGGATCCAATCGGACTGCCAAAGCCAGCTGAAATTCGGTCACTAAGGGGCAACAGAAAGAGAGTAAGAAAAAGGGGGAAGAAAAAGGATTGAGCTCTAGTGGTTTAATATAATATGATTCAACAAGTAACTGTAGAGCAGGCATCCCCAAACTTGGCCCTCCAGATGTTTTCGAACTACAACTCCCATCATCCCTAGCTAACAGGACCACTGGTCAGGGATGGTGGCAATTGTTGTCCCAAAACATGTGGAGGGCCGAGGTTGGGGGTGCCTAGTGTAGAGCATAGGATACAATTGAGGCAAAATTAGGAGCTTTCAAATACCACGTAAATCCCCTGGCAGGATTATGTCTACAGAGTTCTCAGCTGTCCATGTGCATGATCCAGAAGTCCTTACAACAACCCTATGAGGTAGGTGGAACAAGGGTCTTTCCTTGCTCACCAGAAAAGAAACTTCTTCACACAATACCAAGCTAAACTATTGAAATTGCTCCCACAAAATGTAAAATGATGGTCACCTACTTGGATGTTTAAAGAGGATAAGAAAAAAAATGGAGTAACAAGTCTATCAACAGCTGCCTACGGCCTTCCCATAGGAATCTGGTTAGCTACTGTAAGAACAGGATCCTGGAGGAAGAGATGGGCCTTTGGTCTGATCCACCAGGACTTTTCTTATGCTCTTAACCTTTTGTTACTGCTTGAGACAAAAAAGGGAAAGTCTACGTCTGCCGTCTTAGCTATCCCTGCTACTTCTGCTACTTTCATTAGCCATAGGAATCCCACTTTGTTTTTCTCATTATTTCTGGTGCCACCTTTGTTGGATGGACCCAATTTCTAGTATTAGGAGTGCCATGGGGGGGGGGGGAGAGCAAGCCCCCCAAAATGTTCAAGTAGGCCTGGGCCTCCTCAATATTCTGCGGCCTGCAGCAGGCCCTATTGGGCCTTCCCGCGGCTGCAGTTTACCTGTGGCCGTGACAGGTTTCACAGGGCCTACCTGCAACCATCCCCGCCAGGGCTTCCTGCAGCTGCAGTGGCCCCCGCCAAGCCTACTCGCAGCTGCGGCAGACTCTGCCGGGCCTTGCCATAGCAGACACTGCCGGGCCTCCTACGTGTGTCTAGTTTTGTGAGAGAGAAAAGCCTATTCCTATCCTACCCAGTATCTTCATGCCATGCATGAACTTTTAAACATCTATCATGCCCCTCCTTATTTGCCTTTTTTCTAAACTATCAAGCCTCTAATGCAGTGGTATCTCGGTTTTTGAACATCTCCGTTGACTAATGTTTCGGTTTTCGAACGACTTAAACCAGAGGTTTGCTTTTCGAACACACCTCGGAAGTCAAACATGCCACGCAGCTTACGTATTGAGTTTTCCGTTTTTGAATGTTTCGGAACTCGAACGGTCTTCTGGAACAGATTACGTTCGAAAACAAAGGTACCACTGTATAGTGAAAATGTGCAGGTCACCCAATACTGAATAGCAATTGCTCCCTTGCTGTAACCTGCCCTGGGATTGGGACATTATGGTGAAGGACAGGCAAGAAATCTAATACATAAAAATGATGATGTTCGTAATCATAGGCTGTCTTAGCTGCTGGAAGTATTTGGGCATGGATTTGCATAAAAGGTTAATGAAGTAAAATATAAAAATAAGCTTATTCTTTTGAAAATCAGGATCACTTGGCATTCAAATACACAAGAAAAGAAGAAGCAGAATCCTGTGAATATTTCGTCAGAAATAAGTCCCATAGTAAGTAAATGCATAGGATTATAACTTCTAAATTTGGTTAAAAACAAATTTTCTTTGTCCCAGGATGAGGTAAAAGAGACAAGACATAGTTGCCTAAAATAATAATAATAATAATAATAATAATAATAATAATAATAATAATAATAATAATAATTTATTTATACCCCCCTTCTGGCTCGGAACCCCAGCCACTCTGGGCGGCTTCCAGCAAAATATTAAAATACAATAATTCATCAAATATTAAAAGCTTCCCTAAACAGGGCTGCCTTCATGTGTCTTCTAAAAGTCAGATAGTTGTTTATTTCTTTGACATCTGGTGGGAGGGCATTCCACAGGGCGGGTGCCATTACCGAGAAGGCCCTCTGCCTGGTTCCCTGTAACTTCACTTCTCACAGTGAGGGAACCTCTAGAAGGCCCTCGGCGCTGGACCTCAGTGTCCAGGCAGAACGATGGGGGTGGAGACGCTCCTTCAGGTATACTGGGCCGAGGCTGTTTAGGGCTTTAAAGGTCAGCACCAACACTTTGAATTGTGCCCGGAAACATACTGGGAGCCAATGTGGTCTCGGCGGCCACTCCCAGTCACCAGTCTAGCTGCTGCATTCTGGATTAGTTGTAGTTTCCAGGTCACCTTCAAAGGTAGCTCCATGTAGAGCACATTGCAGTAGTCCAATGATTGATGGTTGCTCTTTGATAAATGGAGCAATGAAAGTAGTTACCCTATAGTAGCAAGCTCCATCTTCAATGGCAGACTTTGGGCTCTCAAATTTCAGTGGCACCCTGTGCTAAAGTTCACTCCCTGCACTCTGTTTTACAGCATTGTTTTGGTGCCCCTGCAGCATGATGCCCCATGTGCAACCACACCAGTTGTGCTAACCTAAAACCATCTCTGTCGTCTCTGTCATCTTCATCTGAATTTTTGAGACTGGAGAATCTTCTATAGTTAGAAAACTTCCTGGTAACATGGACCAATCAGTGTCTCAGGCACATGCTTTTGAAGCCAATTAGAGGGCATTATGCTAACACGATTTCTATTGCCCATGCTTTAAAAAGGACGTGTTGCAATGTCCGCCATGGGTGTGGCCAAGTGGGTGCAGGGGGAGCAGCTACCCCCCCATCAAGTAAAACAATATAAATACTTAACTGACCGATCACATAGGTTCTGCCGCCCCAACAAAAGTCCTGGCTATGCCCATGATGTCAGCCAGAACTAGGAATGATATAATGACTAGTCTTGACTGCAATTAGAGAATTCCTGTGTTTGTAGACACTGAAGGTTAAAGGGAAACAATTAACTAGGCAGGGTGGGGAACTGAATCCAGAAGAAACGTGACACAGGCAAAGGTGTCATAAAAGATACCTTATGTACTGTTTTGGATTAAACTACTTAACAAATCGTTCTTTTACAGTTCTGTCAATGGCTCTTTTTTCTTTTCTCAGGGTTTCAGTTATTGGGTTTATTTCCCTTTACTCTTTGTACACTTCCTCTTGGCAATCTGGTTTCTTTTTTTTTGACTCTCAGTATCCTACTGACTGGGGATGCGGGTGGCGTTGTGGATTAAGCTACAGAGCCTAAGGCTTGCCGAACAGAAGGTCGGCGGTTTGAATCCCTGTGACAGGGTGAGCTCCCATTGCTCGGTCCCTGCTCCTGCCAACCTAGCAGTTCGAAAGCATGAAGTACAAGTAGATAAATAAGTACCACTCTGGTGGGAAGGTAAACGGCATTTCCGTGTGCTGCTCTGTTCACCAGAAGTGGCTTAGTCATGCTGGCCACATGACCCAGAAGCTGTTCCCTCGACCAATAAAGTGAGATGAGCGCTGCAACCCCAGAGATGTCCGCTACTGGACCTAATGGTCAGGGGTCCCTTTACCTTTATCCTACTGACAATATCTAGCTCTTCACCCTTCCCGCCCCCGTTTTCCTCTTCTCCTGCTGTTTTTACCAATATGTCTAATCTATTTCTGCCTGGATGTTGGATCATTATCTCAAACTTAATATCTAATATGTTTTCCACGGAGAGCAACAGGAGTTGCATTCCAAGGAACTAAAAACATTTCTACTTGTGGCAGTCGGGCTACAGGTGGCACAAAACTGGGGTGGGTGGGTGTGGAATCAGCAAACTTGCAACTTGCCTTATGGAGGCAAAAGATATGGACAGTGGAATTAATGGAGAAACTTACAAAATATATGAGAGCTCTAAATGGAACTCAAGACTCCAACTATTGCACTTCTTTTATTACTTTCCTGCCTGGCAATCCATCAAATTGGCATCCTCCATCTATACATGTAAAATTGTACTTTCTTCTCCCTCAGTGGGTGAGAGGGATGAGAACTGTATTATTATTTTTGTTACAAATGTCTATTGATATACAGTGGTACCTTGGGTTAAGTGCTTAATTTGTTCTGGAGGTCCGTACTTAACCTGAAACTGTTCTTAACCTGAAGCACCACTTTAGCTAATGGGGCCTCCTGCTGCTGCCGCACCACCACCGCACGATTTCTGTTCTCATCCTGAAGCAAAGTTCTTAACCCAAGGTACTATTTCTGGGTTAGCGGAGTCTGTAACCTGAAGCGTATGTAACCCGAGGTACCACTGTATTAGCACAGTTTTGATGCTTACTTTTGTAAAAACTTAATAGAAACATTTTAAAAACCTTAATATATGCAAGCCTAATGTTGCAATCCTATACACCATTTCCTGGGAGGAAGCCCTAGTGAACTTATTGGGACTTTCTTTTGCGTAAACATGTATAGAAGTGCACTGTTCCTGGGAGGAAGCCCTAGTGAACTTATTGGGACTTTCTTTTGCGTAAACATGTATAGAAGTGCACTATGCATGTATTGTGTTTCTCCCTAAAACAGGGTGACTCATTTGCGGTCTTCCAACTTTCCCTCAGCACAGTCCAGAGTCGGAGATGTACAGTAGTTCAACAACATCTGGAGGACCATAGTTAGGCATTCCTCCTAAAATCTTTGCAGCTTGCTTCTTTTTCTCAGTTGGGAATATTACCCTCTAATCTTCTCAACAAGTGTTTAGGTATTATCTTTTATCCTTCTCTTTGGCTCATATTTCTGCTTTGGACAAAGTTTTATCCCCATTCTTTCTCTAGAACATTCTGAAAATTGATCTGTTGCTCAGCGTAAAACATTATCTCAGTTTTCAACTCTTCTGTTCATTTAGTGTTTGTTTCTTCACTTTTATGTATCTATATTTTTCCCTTTGCTGGATTTCTCTGCTGTTTTTGCAGTAAGTTTTGAACTTC